TTTAATTCATCACATGCTTCAAGAAGTTCTAAAATTTCATTTGCATCCAGTTTATCTATATTAATAATTCCATTGTACATGTAACTTTTAAAAATATAAATAATATGAAAAAAAGTAAATTTAAATAAATCATTAATATTAATATAAAAATCCAAATTGCTTAAATAAACTTACATTAAAAGAATTTCAAAAACTCTTGAGGAAATATTTTCTTTTTCAAACAAAATATTACCATTATCTGATTTTTTAATCCAATTATTAGATAAAGCTGTTCTAAAATATAAAGACCTTGCTTTTAAGATTATGGAATGGGCTCTAAAAATTTTAACATCTTCCTCTTCCACTCCAACTTTGATTTCTACATCATAATGATCTGAATTATTCAACAAATTTGAAAAATCATTTACTAGCTTATTAAAATATTTTAATGGTAGAGCATCATTAATGTTAAGGTTGTTAAATAAGGGTATGGTAGTTTCCAAGGATGAGAAACAGTTATTATTAGACATTTTTTGAAGAATTGTTATTTTTTTTCAAATTTTTGTGTTAAATTAAATGGATATAATAGGAATAAATAAAGGCACGTGATTTGAAAATCCACCAAACAGCTTTCGTTAATATGATCAAGCAGTTAATTTGGCGGTCACAACAGTTTTCCCAGTCCTATTATGAATTACAATAAATTCCTGCAGATATGTTTTTACCTTATTGTTTCAATAATTTCATTAGCACCATGTTTTAAATGCAGATGAAAATAGCTGTGAAGATGAAGAAGTGAAATTGAAAAGTCAAGTCAAAAGACCATTTATTATATCTGGCTGCTACTTCTTTTATAACTTCTTCGGGAACTTGCCTAATTCATCTTGTGGTTGATTGTGAAGATACAAATCAAGTTGAAAACACTATTGATAAAAATCATTTAAATGAAGACAATTGATTATCTATTTATATTTATATATTAACATGAATTCAATTTTTTATTTATCCAGTGGTGAAGAAGACAACAATTATCATGTCACATATTCATGAAAGTTGGCGATACTTTTGAAATTGGCACAATTATGCTAGATACTATTGAAAGAGTAGTCTAAAGATGGTCATTTATATATACTTGAAAAAAATAATAATAATATTTCCAATTGTAAGGAAAGGCGAAAATGTTTCATCAAGAAGGAAAAGGCTTATTGATTGTCATATGGATTAAAAATAGAAAAATATTAGCTGACATCAAGTAATTCAGGAAAAAAATAATAAAAAACTGAGAAATTATCAAATTATCATAATGCTAGAACCTGTCATATTTAATTTTTATTGATTGTATTTGCACAATCAATCAAATTCAAACCGATTAATATATACTATTTGGTATATAATAAATTAACCCAATGAAAACTCTTTTTTTCAAAAATTTGATTTATTGAAATGTGATTTAAATGTTATAAAAAATTATGCACAGAATAAGTAGTGAGGAATAATAATAGTGTTACCGGAATTAGACTTAGACGCAGATATTTTGGCCGAATCTCTTAATTCCGGGATAATTTAAATTTTTATTTTAATTATTTATTTTTATATATTTTCTATTTATTTATTATTAACTTGTATGATTTAAATTATTTATTTTGTTATTATCGTTTATATCCGTGTTATGCTTCGTATATTAATATTAATATTAATTAATTCGTAACACGATAATATTTATTTAACTAGATGAATGCTTTATGACAGTGACTTTGTCACTGGTGTTACTTGTTATTTACTGTTTTAAAGTCTCTATTCAAATAAAAGTTACTATTTGAAGAAAAATTTCTGGCCTTCGGCAAAGTTGAATGATTTTAATATTGTTATTTAATCATATCAACAACTAAACAAATTATATTTATAATTATAATCAATGTGTATTTTACGCTAAAATCATATGTACTGTCAACAAAATAGCTGTCGATGAAATGAACTGTTGACGAAATGCGTGCCGATGAAGTGATTGTCGATGAAATGAATCTTTAAAAAACTTAAAAATAATTTCGCCTAATTTTAGCTATTATTGAAATTAGTTTCGCCCAAGTTTTTGCCAATTAATTTCGGCCCACTAAGTAAGATAGTTTCCATTATCAATATTATTATTATTAATTGATAACAATAATGATAACGTAATACAATTTACAGTTGCACAATTCATTAATAAATTCACTAATGAATATAATGATTGCTATAAGATCGAATCAATTCGAATCATATTATATATTTGAATTAGTTCAAATTGAATCGAATCGAATCGAATCAAAGTACAATACAATTCAATCTGAATTTGATTCGAATGAAAAGAATCAAAAATTAGGTGATTCGATTTTTAAACAATAATAATTTTTATTTGAGTCAACGAATAATTTGATAAAGCGAATAAAACGAATAATTTGACAATGAAACGAGTAATTCGAATAAAGGAATAAAGCAGCGAATAATTTGAATAAAACGAGTAACGAATAAAACGAGTAATTCGAATAAAGGAATAAAAGTGCGAATGATTTGAATAGAAACTTTACTCTTATTAATAAAAAATTTTAATCAAACGGTCGTTAATCTTTTATAAATAAAAATTATAATATATTATTTAATAATAAACCAGAGGCTAGTCACATTCCCGAAACACAATTGGGCGACCATAATAATAATTTTGAAATGTTATTCTTAATTTGGTAATATTCATATGTGTAACCGAATATTCAATCGAAATGAATATTCGAATATTCATGATTGTGATCGAAATGAAGTGTTGAAAATTCGGTGCGGGGAATGCGGGGTGTAACATTACACACGAATCAAGTTTTTAATTTTTGGAGATAGTTTCTAAATTTGTACTAGTTACACAACGAAATTTCAACACTGGGAATGAATATTAGAATATTCATGATTGTGATCGAAATAAATATTCGAATATTAATATTCATGACTAAAATCACTAAATATGTTCCATACACAAACTGATCTGTCATCTGACTTTTAATTTAGTTGTAGACCACTCACCTCCTATTTTATATACTTTCGAGGTAATTAAGTAATAAATGAAGTAATTCGGAAATTAGCTATTGAAGACTTCTTTGCATTTGGTAAATTATATATGTTCATTTTGAAAGTAATAAATTTAAAATAAATCATCTAACAACTGCTAGGAAACATAACCAATACCAATAGAAACCTCGGATTCTGTTTAATATTCTGGTTAGTAATTTGAATAATAAAACGTTTATTTAAATAATTTTTTTATTGCAAAAACTAAACGTTAATCATATAACTCTTACACTATTTCCATAGTTCTAAATAATGAAAAAGTATGAGTAATGGTTGTAGAATTGATTATAAATAGTGCGTGGTATGTTATTAGTCTATGGTGAATGCATGAATGAATTTAACATTTACAATTATTTAATATTTATTTAATATTTAATGACGTGCTTTACGATAAAAAATGCATGCGATAAAAGCGCTTGTTCGCACGATATCGAATCGGATCAGCTTGCCTAACTTTTGCGGTTGTGATTTTGTTGGATATATGTGTATCTGGACATTGGTAATTTGGTAATTGAGAACTTTGTCCCAATTGTTGTGAATATGATATTTGATTATTATTCAATAGCTGTAGGTATATATGATGAGGTCTGACTAATTGACTGTATTGAGCTAGTAGGTTTATTTGCTGTTAATGCTGATGCTGATGATCGGGAGCGGATCCATTTTTTTAAAATAACCGAATATAAAAAATTTGAATAAAATTATTTCTATAAAAAGAAATTTTAACAAAGAAATTATATCCAAATGAATATTACTACTTTGTAACTTTCTAGAACTTCATTGCAGATAAATATCGCTAATGAGTAAAAATAGAATAAATCATAAAATCAAAGAGCAAAAACATTTCTTTGGAGAAATTAAGATTTCCCAAATTATTCAATAAATCAAATAATAAATCAAACTATTTGTTTGAAATGGAAAACTCTGGTCGATTTGCGTGATAAAATGACATATTTAAATATTACCAAACTGGGACACAAGTTTACTAAAAAAGGCAAAATTTTTTTGAAAAAATGGAATTGTATAACAAATAGTACAAATAGAAATCTCACCTAGAAGAAATATTCAACCATAATAACAATAATAATAATTAGATTTAAAATTTAAAAAATGTTTAATAACGATCTGCGAATAATTTTAGTATAAATCCATCATGCCCGCTTTAATTTATTTGATTCATTAAAATAAAATAAAATTTCAAATAATTATCAATTGAACCAGTCGATTAATTAATTAAAACTTTAAATTATCTAATTAAAAACAAACAAGAAAATATAAATGAAACGTCAAACTGATACTAGTTGGAGTTGGGAAGAACTTCCTACAAAAACCACCAATGAAACATTTGTTACTATGGACACAAAAAATGTAAATGAAGGCCTAACAACTGCTTGTTTTAATATTCCACAAACGATCAGTGGAGTGATTGATATAATAAAAAATACAAGTGTAGACGATGAAATTGAAAGAATTTATGTAACAACCGCTTGTTCTCGTTGTCAGAAACGTCACATAAAATGCGACGACCGAAAGCCTTCATGTTGTAACTGTGAAGAAAAGGGTTGTGAGTGTATTCGTATTCAGCCGGAACTTCGGCGTGGCCGTCCCCGAGGTACGCTTAATGGACAGGGGAAACACCCCAAAAGAATTACAAACAATGGATTTAAGAAAACTAGAAAACCCAGAAAAAAACAATCGATTGAATCTAACAATGCCAAATTTAACAATACCATAAAAGAATTACTCAATCATGAAGGTGTTGGTTTTTACGGAAATAATAATAATGATCCATCAACTTTGGGTTTTTATAATGGATTGACGCCCTCCTCATCTTTTCAAAGTAGATCGCCAACACATTTATATTCGTTCACATCTTCGCATGATACTTACGATATTAACAATAACAATACTGTATATAGAAGTAGCAACTTGACTGATTCACCAATTCAAGATCCGTTCAGCTTTTTTGACATCCCCAATCGATACAATGTGCACCAATTTCAAATTCCACCTGAAAACACTAGTGATTTTGTGCTTGGTCCGAATGCATTATCGTTAACTACGAATATTGATCTTGATATAGTTGATAATAACTATGAAGGTGAATACCATAATGTGTTAATGGACGGTTCATTGGATACGTTCAATAGTTCTACACCAATGGATGGACCATATGTGGATTATTTTAACACACATCTATCATACAAATACAGCAAATGTTGGTAATTACCAATTCGATATTCCTTTTATTGGAAATAATAAAGAGTTTTCCTTATTATTATCATAATCAACAATAAAAATCTAAAAAAAAAATCCTTTACATACTGTATATATTATCACACAAAAAACATTGGAAATTTTATTCATTTATCCTCCTAATTCATAAAAGCCTTTTTTTCCTCTTCTACGTAAAAATTCCATTATATAATTATTTATTTTAATTAACATGTTATTTATTTATATTATTATTATTATCATCATTATTATCATCATTATTATTATCATTATTATTATAATTATTATTAAGTATTATTATTGAGTATTAATAAAAAAAACTTTGATTACACCATCAATCAATTGGGATGTCTTTTCCCTGAATGAATGACTCAAACACTAACCTTTTTTTTCTCTTATATATTTGAAAAGTTTATTACCTAATTTAAAGTGAAATTAGAATTGACACCTCTACTTATTTAAGAAATAATGTAAATTTAAATCAAAAAAAAACATTTTTACATAACTTTGACATTATTGATTATTTTATTTTTTATAATTAATGAAAAAAATCACTTACTTTATCCACAATTAACAAATCTTTCGATTTCTCCTTTAACCAATGTGATCCTGAAAATACAATAGCTTTCTTCTACTGCCTATATTAAAAGTTGAAAGTATTAACAACGAAGATAGATACTTTCATTCATCATACTCTACATGATCTACTTGAAGAGATTTTTAATCATTCATTGTTTGAGTTTGTTTGGTAAGATTTTTTTTTTAAGAGTTTTGAATTGTGCAACTTGAGGATGTTTGACTTAATAGGGTAAACAATGAAAGTTTATCTTCAAAAAAAAAAAAAAAGATGTTGTGATAATCATGAATGTGAGATTCCAAAATTTGAGAATTCATCCATCATTCATGCTTAACCAAGACCACCTCAAACCTGCAGACTTTCAAGCTGGTACATTGAATGAATTTGTTAGAAAAAATGTGGTAATAGAAGCTATATGGCCATGAGTTGTTGTGGGTGCTTATATCGATTTGACTTCTGAACTTTTGTTTTGCTGCTTTCCAATTAATATTAAATTGCGCACATTTTGTGTTTACAAGGTGACCTGATTTCGAATTTGATGATTCCCACCGAACAAGCCTAGTTTCCAAGCTTGATATCGGTATTTGAGGCTTTATAATGTCAAAATAAGTGATAAATGGTGGATTTTAAAGAGTCCCCGTTTACGACTTTCGATATATATGTGTGTCTCAAAACACTAAGCATCTTTGTGATTTTAAGGATTGTGATTTCTAAAGTTTTGAAGGTGATCACAGGAGTTTGAAGTATATATATATTTCGTATGACTTTGACTTAGAATCACTCAAGAATCATCATCAAGTTTGAGTGACAATTATAAAAATAGTTTATGGGTCAAGAATGAATTGGGTATGCTGGTTTTTAAACTTGGATAATAGTTGGCTAATCAGAAATTATCGTGTCGTGTAATGCCTCATTCACTTTATGTAAGGACACCCATTTAGTTACAGTTTTTTATAATAAATACAAGAAATGATTCTTTACTTTCTGATCTATACTCGTGTACTTCTCATTAGTCAGTATATTTCTTTTGTAATTCTTTGATAACAGTGTAACTTTAAATTAAATACCTTGCAAAATCACTTTATTTAAAACAGGCTGTCATCATCATTATTATTCAAATAGTTCATGTATGAAAAAGTCATTAATTAGTAAAATGAATCACCCACCTAGACAACAAATGGTATATACTGTATGTATTATTATTACCGATTTTACTATATCTCTATGGAATGACTAGGAAATATTACACACAACTAAACGATTTTTATTGCAAAATTGGCAAAAAGTTGTGGACTGTATTTATTATGTTAAATCCTAATTAAAATAAAATTCCTATAATCATTACTTCAATTATTTTTTTTTTAAATTAAAAAATAATTCAATTAATTATCATTTATTTATTTAACTGTTTAGTATGATTAATAAATAAATAATAATCATATATAAAATAAAATAATTACGCGACCGAGTTATGTATCACAGCTATCATAATACTTTGTTTAATAATGTTTATTTATTTATTTATAAAAGTAGTTTTTTTTTTTTTGGTTTAACGACGTAGTCTTGCTGTGACATTTTATTGGCTTGAATTTTACATATGAATTAACAAAAAGAGAATTACATAGAAAAATAAAAGTAAAACAATTTTTTAAATGCACAACCCCCCCCCCCGTAATGCTAAAAGTATCCGTTTGAAGCGACTTGACGTCGTACACAATCTCCACTTGGCCTCTTTCTTCAAAAAAAGAGAGAATTAAGCTGAAGCACCCCATTTCATTGAACATGTAAGACATCTTGCCAAAAAACGTTGTTGTTTCTTGAAATTTGTGTTGTTTCTTGTTATCTTTTTATTGATAATAATAAATATTATTTTTGTTGTTGAACCTTTTTATTAAAGTTTTTGTTTCGTTTTTTTTTACAAAAAACTAACTTCTTCATCAACTCCACTCTCTCCCCACAACTATTCCTGAAGTTGGAAGTTTGTCTTTTTTAATACTTATACGACGTATATTGTTTTAATGTTCACTAGTTTTATTTTTCGGCTACGCCTCGGTGGGAAAAGATTTTTAGGTTTTTTTTTAAAAGATTTTTTTGACCTGATGAAATTTACTAGTGATACAAGCCGACTTAAATAAATGGCTTGGAAAGCTTGAAGACTTTGGATTTTTTATTTACGATAAAAAACTTTCAAATTTTTTTTATGTTTTTTATTATTGTAAAAAGAACATCCAAAAAATCAATAAATCAATCACAATCAACCAGTTCTAATAATAATCAAATGAAAACGATTAGATAGTGGTGTTATTGTTGAATCATCAATCAATAAAATAATAACAATAGTGACTTTTTTGACTGAAATTGTTATTATATTTGTTAGTTCAGCTGCTTCACTTTAAATAACGAGATATTTTACTAAGAAATTGGGAATGCTTTCTAATCCAAAAATGAGGAATTACATATAACAGTGATATTTAACTCAAAATTGCTTTTTTCACAACATGGTCCATTCCTATTGTCCACGCATCATATATAGTACAATTGCACTCTATTTTTGTTCCTGAGGGAATGTTTGTACAAGGCGCACAATGAGTTACTGAGGTCCTATTTGTGTCCCTGAGGAACATTCTTATAACAAATGCATCCCTGAGGTACTATACGATTTTAAAACAATTATAGGCAGATTTTTTATCGTTATAAGATTTTAAATACGGGCGCGAACCAAAATTCATTCAGTAAAAAGTTCTTTAGCTTTGGTAAAAATAACTTGGCTGAAAAGTTTAATTTGTCAATAAATATTTTTAATATATTTATTATTTTTAACATCAGGTACTAGAATGTTTGTTTATTGGTGACGGAGTCATGCCAGAAATTTATGTTTTTCAGCATAATAAATAGCAAAGAATCTTAATATTATTTAGTTGCCTGATGCATTCATGTGTATATATATACTTTTATATCGGTAAGAATTTTTTGGCTACTTGTTTTGAATGTTCATACTTTTCTACCATTGATCGATCAACGATGAATGTGTTTGCGTCCAACGAATTTATATGAACGTCACCCCAATATTTACACCTGCTTAAATCAACGTATGCCTAACCGGGCTATATTTCTTGTAGGTAATATTCATAGAAATCGCCAATAGAATAGGATGGTGTCATTTTCATCCAACCTATCAAAATTGACCATTTTCCACCTCCTCGTAATTTGTTAAATAGATAATTGTCGACAATGACGAAGGCATTAATGATGTTTTTTAGGTTTTGTAAAGAATGAAAATTTTATCTCAGAAAGAAATATTGTTTATTTATATTAATTAAAGAAAAAAAGATGAAAATTTTATTAGTCTTCAATTGTTTATATCAATTAGAAAAAATTTCATCATGGTTACTACTTTTTTTTTATTTATCATTTATCATTGGTATCTGGAATGTGATTTATGATTATAATTTCGTCATTGATGATTTGGCTTGTTATTTATTGATTTACAAATGAATTATTTACCATCTATGGAAAATCTCTGACCTTTGGCAAAGCTAAATGATTTTAGAAAATACCATGACATTAAAAGTTTGCTGAAATACCGAAGGGTGTAATGATAAAGGTTGATCGATTTGCTATATCAAGATTGTAAAGATTTCAGAGAAATTCTTTAGGTGTTTTTGTTCATTATTTGATAATTTTGTTTTTATTCATGTGTATATAAATCACAATGTACCTTTGAAACTTTGAGACGAACCAACAAATTTTTGATAACAAATGCCATCATCCAAATTTCACAACCGGAATGCTTTCAATTGAAAAAGGTTGCTTCTTAGGCATGTAGACCAAATTTTAGCTAAATCAAGTGGTATAAAATATCACAGATTAAAAAAACACTTGTAACGTCATAATAATTCTAAATTAATGTGTATGTATATGTATAAAACAAAAATATAAATATGTGTGATGGGTATATAGTTGTTCGCCGTAATTAAATTGCTCATAGTTACCAATATTATCTCTGCAATTATTAGGTCAATGGAATATAGTCATTCATATATAGAACATTGGAATTCCTTAATTATCTCCATAACCACATTTCCTTCAAAAACAATTTTAAATAAATACACTTTATTACTATTACTATTGCTATTACTTTCTCTTTGATGAATATCTATGCGTGTATCTTTTTATTTATTATAAATGACTAATAAAATCTATTGTTGTTATTATTTTAAATTTTCCGATTGGATAGAAGTAATAAATGAGTTTTGGAAAATGTGTCACATCATTTATGTTACTATATTTATTATTAATTACGTCACTTATTTTTTTTTTCATACAATATTATTACTATTCTAATCTTTATATAATATTATGAAGCATTTCAGGAGGAGCTTTAGCTTTATAAAGTAATAATAATAATACAATACAGAATATAAATTACCCGGTCAACATGTGATTGGCATGCAAATCATTTATAATATACTGTACATCTATATTTATTCTTTGCCATTTGAGCCTAACGTCAAGCTTCCAATGTCGTATTTTCTCAATTTTCTTTCGAGATAGAGATTCCGATGTTTAGTAACGATAGCAACAAGGTTATTTTGCTATTTTATAAAAAATTAAAGCCAATCCAAAAACATATACATGTATTTTTTAAACAATGTTGTGTTACACGTGAGGTTTCATGAATAAAAAAAATGATGATAGTTTATTTTTATAAACATCTTTCTATAATAATATAATAAATAGTTAGATTACTACATGTAGTTATAAAGTTGCTACATTAATAAAATTTATTATTATTAAGAGCAATTATATTTTGAATTTCATTCAAAATCTCCGAAAGTCTTTTGCTTATAACATTAAGACGTTTATCCAATTCGTTATTGTGATTGTTGCTGTTGTTGTTGTAATAATAAGGAAGTTTCGGATTAAATAGTGCTTGATTATTTTGTTGAAAAATATTTTGATGATTTGTCGTGTTATGATCTATTAAGTATGGTTCGTGGTTTACTTGAGAAGCTTGGGAAGAAAAAAGTTGAGGCTGGAGTTGTGATTGAGAATATGCCGGAGATAAAAGTTGAGAAGGTGTTGATAAAAATTCAAAAGGAACATTCTTAAGATCATTTAGATTTGCAGTTTGAGAATTTCCATCAAAAGTGCCAATACTAGTTGTGTTATAATTGTTGCTATTATTAAAATTAGAATAAGTAGAGTAGACTGAAGAATTAATTTGCTCTGAGGAGAAATTATTATTTATTTGACGAAAATTATTCATTTTGTTTGATTAAAAAAATTGAGAAATATTAAAGGTAAAAAATAATAAATTAATGTCAGATCTTGATTTGAATTTTTTTGGGATTTATAGTCATTTTTCATAATAACAAATATTAATAGTAATAATAATAATAATAATAATGAATGATTATTATAATTTTGATTTTGTACTTTGTTATGTTTATATTAATATTAATGAAATGTTTCTCCGTCAAATTTAATTTTTGATTTTGTACTTTGTTTACTATTAATGAAAATTTTCTCCGCATGACGACGAATTGGAAATATTAAATTTGGCAACAAAATTATTATTACATCCAATGTCGAATCATAATGTTCACGGCCACCTTAAATAGAGTTTTTCCGATCCTCTAATTTATCAATAAAGAATTGGAGAATTATTGTCACGAGGCAAATTTTTTTTGGTATTATCCATTTTAAACTATCGTGTTTCTCTTTATAAACATACCAAATTTATATTAAATTTCTTGTATTCTTTACTCCTTTTTATTCACTAAAATCAATTTTGATAACTAAATAAAGAAACCATCAAAAATTTGCTGCCTCTGAAACGAGTGAATTGCAAAAGTTAGTTTAATGTTGTTACAATAGTAAAAAATTATTTCAGTTTTTTTAGGTTTGCAATTGCAAAAAAAACTCAGAGGTGTATCGTCTTCTAACTATTATGCCCTCACTTTTTTTTACTTTTGCTTTTATTATAACAAAGCCCTGCGGTTTCTGACACTTTTCCGAGGCTATTTAAAATTGTTACCAACTCCCAAATTTCTATCTAAAAGTTCTATATCTTCAATTAGAATATTGCTCATATTCTAATATCGTAGCATTATAATTTAATTTTAAATGTTTTGTTTATTGTAAAGAACAAAAGAACGTAAAATTTTAATTTAAATTGTAAAAGCGAAAGAGCATAAAGCTTAATTTAAATAAATGTTGTTTAAAAGAATTACCAGCAATTTTTTATCGTTAGCCTGTTTATTTATTTATGATTTATTTATTTATTTGTTAAAATTATTCAAGAATTGAACCAATTATCTTATTCAATATTGTAAAGAGAGAAATCAGGTTTACGGTTTTTTGTTTTTTTTAACTATATAGTATAATAATTGTTGATATTATAATGTTTATTTAAATTTATAATATTATTATTTATTTATATAAATTACTATATATAAGCATTATATGTGATAACAAAATTTTCAGTAGATACTGTATTGAACTTGAAATTTTCCATTATATATATATAAAGATCTGGACAATTTTTGAATTCTTATAATAATAAGAAAAAAAATAAAAAAGGAAATTCAGATAAGATATAATTTTTTTTTTGTTGTCCATATAGAGAAGTTTTAATTAATTAATTAATATAGAGAATTGTTATTTGCACCTCCCATTTTTAAAGGAATTTTATTTGCCTTTTTTAGTAAGTCCTTCGGGTAAAATTATTATTGGAAGAGTGTTGAAATTTCGTTGTATAACCAGTACAAATTTAGTAACTATCTCCAAAAATCAAAAATTCGATTGGTGTGTAATGTTACACGCGGGCATGTTCAACAACGTGAGTAGAATAATCATTTATTTTGTTTGAAAAATAGTTTCTTAATTTAGAAAAAATGAGATTTTAACAGTATCAAGCAATATTTATGCTTATATATAAACTATATTATGTAATAAGATATTAACATATTTCCAATTTTCAAATTCTGTTTAATTAAAAATAGTCAATTATTAATGACATTATTTTTATTATTATTATTATTTAACAATTGAGAATTGTCCAGTATTTATTACTAAAAGGATGGCTTTATATTGTTTAAAATACAACACTGTATTTTGATTATTATATCATATAATATATATATTGTACACAATGCCAAATCTATTTATTTAAAATGACATATTTTGGCTTGAGGAGAGGAGTTGGGAGCTTTCAACATTATATTTAATATGATTCAATAAAATTCATTTACATTTTTATCAAAATTTTTGTAGTAATGACATGGGAGTATGAGCTTATATTAGAGTGAAATGATGTCATTTTGGGCACTCCTAAAAATATCCACAAAGAATTTTTAGAATGTGTGGAATGTGGAGAGCTTGAAGAGAAGAAATTCCAAAGATTTCAACCATTGCTAATTGGTAACTGGAACATGCACAGATTGAAAAATAGAAACATTCTGCACTTCAAAGTTATAATTTTAAAGAAAAATATTTTAAAATATATGTTTGATTAATTTTTTGACCCTGAATCTTGGGGAAGCCAAAGTAAAGCCTTTATCAAGAGGAAAAAATAATTTTTATTTATAAATGAACTAAATAGGATATCATACATGTTATCATGTGGTCAAACACAATGTTACTATTTTTTTTGTGTATTCCTCTTGCTAACATTAACAGATTCACAAAAGGATCATCAATCAAAAACTTTTATTTTTAAGGTTGCACACATGTTAAAATTGTGAAACCTAATTTTATTTTTTTTTTTTTTAAAAAAATGAATTCAATAATTGAAAAATATTTTAATGAAAATGAAAGATTGTTTAATACTGCAAATTTTTATGATGTAAAAATATATATTGGTGTAGAACCAAACATTAACAAAGTTCATGCACATGCATCTATCATATCAGCTCATTGTCCATTTTTTAGCAATGCATTGAGTAATGCAGAAAAAGAAAATGGATATTATATTGTCAAGATTGTTAATATTAGTGAAAAATGTTTCAAACCTATTCTCAAGTAAGTTTATTTTTATATTAAATTAATTAATTATTATTGAATATATAATAATGATAATAACTGTTTAATAATTTTTTTATTCAAAAGATTTTTGTACACATGTAAAATTGAATTTGAAAACTATTCTGGAGCTGAAGTATTGGAACTATTAATTGCAACAGATCAACTTGGTATTGAGTCACTTTATGAGTATATGATGAAATACTTTGTTGAAAATTATGAAGATTATATAAAAGAAAATCCAGTTAAAATTCTACAGTTGATTTATGGTGATGAAAAATTTAAAGAATTGAAAAACATCTATTTAGAAAAGTTTTGTCAATATAGTGAAAATTTATTTCAGTCAAGAGAATTTGAATTGTTGGAAAAACCAATTCTATTGGAAATTCTCAAAAGAGATGATTTTTCTGTTGACGAGATAATTATTTGGGAAAATATTCTTAAATGGGGAGTAACTAAACATCCAGAAATCAATAACATCAATGTTGAAGATTGGTCATCACAAAATTTTGTTGATTTAGGCAACACATTAAATGAATTTATTTCTCTAATAAGATATCAGGATATTCCTAAAAAAGAGTTTTTTAATAAAATTGAACCATACCAAATGCTTTTTCCTAGGGCTTTATGGAAAAATCTTTTGCATTTTTATTTATTTCCAGATGAACAACTTACTTTGAATTTATTACCATCAAGAATTTCAAAATTGAATTCAACATTTGAATCATTGACAATCAATAAAAGGCTTACTTTGCTTTTTGCAAGTTGGATTGATAGAAAAAGCCAACCATATAGTTCATTCAGTGAAGTTAAATATCAATTCAAACTTTTATATCGTAGTAGTAGAGATGGTTTACATGCAGCTGCATTTCATCAAAAATGTGATAACATCAACAAAACTCTTGTAGTTGGCAAAATACAAAATTCTGAGCAAATAGTTGGAGGCTATAATCCACTAAATTGGAATGGAAGTGGAGATAAAAATACAACTGAAAGTTTTATATTTAATATAAATAATAAAAATAATATTAATACTGCACAATTTAGTTATGTTATTAATAACAAGTTTCAATCTGCAATTTTTTGTGCTCCATCATGTTTACCACTTTTTGGCACTGGTTTTAATAGCAGGTATGATCTTTATTTTAATACTAATGGTATTATTAAGAGCGTTCCATTAAATTATGCTAATATCAATATAGTAAATAGTAGTATATTTGATGAATTAGAAGTTTTTCAAATCACTAATTAATAACAAATTATTGATTATATTATTATTTATTATCTTACAAATGTTTTTTCTATGTAATATTTGATAAATTTAGTAAAATTTTTTTCTGGTTTATCACTAGTTAAATAAAGGTGAATATTAATAATGATGATGATGTAATTAATTTACAAGAGAATTTATCCTTTAATGATATTATTATTAATAAGTATATCTATCTATATACACCATAATAATCTCTTACCATCTTGTTTAAAGCTTCAAACCAAACTTTGTTGCATGAAAACCAAATTTTATCTTGAGCATAATATGTTTTTGAACATTTAACATGTTGTGAAACTTAAAAATAAAATATTAATAAATCAAAATTTATTATTATGTGTTTTAATCTCAGATAATGAAAAATGGTCATTTTAATAATTTGTCATTTAACACCTTGCTAGCTTCATATTTAAATAACAAAAAATACCAATTGAAAGGTTTCTGTTTAGATTATAGGTTTGTAATTTCTCATCCAATTACATCTGTATCTTTTATGAAATCGTTTACAAATCTTCTTGCACCAAATGTAATTACGATCGTTGTGATAATCTTCTTTTCCATATTTGCATGGGAAATGTCATCCTCGAAAGATATGCCGCCCCCCTCCTTGATGGTTGTAAGTGGTCTCCCTTTATCAACCGTGAAGTTATATGTCTGTTACCTGTAGGTATAAGTCATCTTTAATTTCTTCTTCTCTAAATTCTTCTTCTTTAATTACAATTTGCAGGCACCCTTCCAAAATGTTGTTCTGTCATAAACGCTTCTAGATTATAAACAAAACCACATTTATTTACATTTGATGGAATTATTTAAAAATTTTTTAAAGATAATCAATTTATGAATTCTCTAAAAGGTAATGTAGTTAGAACTGTTGTAACGTGAAAATGAAATTATGTGAAGTCGTAATTCACACATGTGATATTCAAATTTACATATTAATGTGAAATTCAAATTAGCCGATCAGAATTTCACCCCACTCCATAATATTTCAATTTCACATAATTTCAATTGAACTATAAAAAAACTGACATTAAATCGTATAACGAATATTTTGACTTTTTAATAAATCTGTCTGTAACGATTTTTGGAAAATTTCTGTGATGATCATCATTACTCACAACTGAGAACGCAATGCGAGCTTATAGTTTTCGTGTTACAAATCACGCACACCATGTTACGCGCGAACAAAAATTCATTTATTTAAGTTGGGTTTGGGATTGCATCTTCTTCGTCGCAAAGAACAAAAAAATGACATCACTCGGGCCAAGACACAGTAGTCTATTTTGTAAATCCAAAACATATAAATAGGACAGCCGTTTTTTTGAAAAATTTGAGCATTTTCATGAAACAAAATCGGATCTTAATCTTTATTGTCATCCTCAAAAAATGATGATTAATTGTTGTTTAATGCTTCTCATAATTGATGGATTTCATATATTACAAATGTAACCAATCAAATAAATTAACGAATTTTATCTCTCTTTATTTTTTTTTAAAAAAATGCTTCCTTCTAAATAAAATAAACAATAAAAATTAACAAAAGAGAGAGGTATGTCACGAATGGTCAATACGCCACCAGCAAGAGTTCCATTCTCTCCCTCGCTGGACTTTAATAACACATTTAAACGAGTCACATGAGCTCGCCATTGCATGTCTTACCCCGAGACAAGTACTGGTAATGGAAAAATGAACCTTATATTTCAAGTTGTGCATGGATTATTTACAGTTTACAACATTTTATTGGACAAATTTTATTCTATTGAATTATTTTGAATTTTTATTTTTTTAAGATTACGTAGGATTACACAATAAAATATACTGATGAACATTTGTCAATTAGTCAGTCAAGTTATCAGACGAATTTTGTGCTTTAATTACAAAAGTATACTTTAATAATATCGTGTTAAATAAATAAATAAATACTTTTTAATTTTTGTCAATTTTTGGCTAGCATCATAACTATACATGCTCTATATATAAACTTGTTTTTTTTAAAAAAAAATAATAATAAATTTTTTTGTTTACTTTTTTAGATTTGATAATTTGGTTAGTATTTAATTTTAAAATCAAATTGGTTATTGTTACCGATCACTTGCTTAACTCGAAAGAGTATAAAATATATCTGATTTATTAAACAATTAAAAATGTGTACTTTTTTTCCAAAATTTTTGCGCATCTTTTAATTTGTAATATAAAGCAATTTGGCGAAAACCTACTTTGTACAAAGATGGTTTTAAAAAAAACCAACAATTAATTATTGTTACCAATCACTTGCTAACTCGAAAGAGTATAAAATATATCTGATTTATTAAACAATTAGAAATGTGTTTCTTTTTTCCAAAATTTTTGCGCATATTTTACTTAGTAATATAAAGGAATTTGGCAAAAACCTACTTTGTACAAAGATGAGTTTTAAAAAATTTTAAAATTAACAATTAATTATTGTTACCAATCACTTTCTAACTCGAAAGAGTATACAATAAATTTTTCTTTTACATTTATTCCTATATACATATGTAAATTGTAGTTATAAAGTTGCTACATTAATAAAATTTATTATTATTAAGAGCAATTATATTTTGAATTTCATTCAAAATCTCCGAAAGTCTTTTGCTTATAACATTAAGACGTTTATCCAATTCGTTATTGTGATTGTTGCTGTTGTTGTTGTAATAATAAGGAAGTTTCGGATTAAATAGTGCTTGATTATTTTGTTGAAAAATATTTTGATGATTTGTCGTGTTATGATCTATTAAGTATGGTTCGTGGTTTACTTGAGAAGCTTGGGAAGAAAAAAGTTGAGGCTGGAGTTGTGATTGAGAATATGCCGGAGATAAAAGTTGAGAAGGTGTTGATAAAAATTCAAAAGGAACATTCTTAAGATCATTTAGATTTGCAGTTTGAGAATTTCCATCAAAAGTGCCAATACTAGTTGTGTTATAATTGTTGCTATTATTAAAATTAGAATAAGTAGAGTAGACTGAAGAATTAATTTGCTCTGAGGAGAAATTATTATTTATTTGACGAAAATTATTCATTTTGTTTGATTAAAAAAATTGAGAAATATTAAAGGTAAAAAATAATAAATTAATGTCAGATCTTGATTTGAATTTTTTTGGGATTTATAGTCATTTTTCATAATAACAAATATTAATAGTAATAATAATAATAATAATAATGAATGATTATTATAATTTTGATTTTGTACTTTGTTATGTTTATATTAATATTAATGAAATGTTTCTCCGTCAAATTTAATTTTTGATTTTGTACTTTGTTTACTATTAATGAAAATTTTCTCCGCATGACGACGAATTGGAAATATTAAATTTGGCAACAAAATTATTATTACATCCAATGTCGAATCATAATGTTCACGGCCACCTTAAATAGAGTTTTTCCGATCCTCTAATTTATCAATAAAGAATTGGAGAATTATTGTCACGAGGCAAATTTTTTTTGGTATTATCCATTTTAAACTATCGTGTTTCTCTTTATAAACATACCAAATTTATATTAAATTTCTTGTATTCTTTACTCCTTTTTATTCACTAAAATCAATTTTGATAACTAAATAAAGAAACCATCAAAAATTTGCTGCCTCTGAAACGAGTGAATTGCAAAAGTTAGTTTAATGTTGTTACAATAGTAAAAAATTATTTCAGTTTTTTTAGGTTTGCAATTGCAAAAAAAACTCAGAGGTGTATCGTCTTCTAACTATTATGCCCTCACTTTTTTTTACTTTTGCTTTTATTATAACAAAGCCCTGCGGTTTCTGACACTTTTCCGAGGCTATTTAAAATTGTTACCAACTCCCAAATTTCTATCTAAAAGTTCTATATCTTCAATTAGAATATTGCTCATATTCTAATATCGTAGCATTATAATTTAATTTTAAATGTTTTGTTTATTGTAAAGAACAAAAGAACGTAAAATTTTAATTTAAATTGTAAAAGCGAAAGAGCATAAAGCTTAATTTAAATAAATGTTGTTTAAAAGAATTACCAGCAATTTTTTATCGTTAGCCTGTTTATTTATTTATGATTTATTTATTTATTTGTTAAAATTATTCAAGAATTGAACCAATTATCTTATTCAATATTGTAAAGAGAGAAATCAGGTTTACGGTTTTTTGTTTTTTTTAACTATATAGTATAATAATTGTTGATATTATAATGTTTATTTAAATTTATAATATTATTATTGGTTGTAGTAGTAAAATTACAAATTTTTTTTTTATTTTTTTATAATTTGAAAAAAAAAATTTATCACTATTATTTTTTTTTTAATTCCATTCGTTATTTTTTTTTTTTTAATAAAATAATAAAAATAATTCGTTTTTGCTGATAGAAATGTTGTTTATTTCTTGATAATTTTTATTTTAATTATTTTATATTTAACAAATCAAATATAAAAAATTTTTTTTCTATTAAACATCGTATCAATATTAACTAATTCAATTAAGATTTTATTATATACATTACATATAAAATATATATTAGAAACATACAATAATATATATACTAATTAAAAAGTTTCCAAGATTATATCGTCTGTATCATAATTATTATTAGTCTTGGTAAGAATTTAATTAACCAATTAAATCTGTATTATGAATATTTATGTTTCCATGATGATTTAATTGATTTAATTGATGATTTAGTTGTAGTTGATGTTGATAACGATGGTTTGTATTTGCTGTTGTTGTAGTGGTTGGTGTGGTGATATTAGATTGAAGATTTGGCGGTGTCGTTATTGTTGTTGATGATGATGTAGTTGTTGATGCTGCTGATGATGGCGGCAGTGGTGATGATGCTGGAACAATAGGACCTCCTGGCGAGCTCGCAGTTCTTATAGCTTGTATTCTTATCAGATATTCAGCCCAATCAGACCAATTTCTCCAATCAATTGCTGGTGGTAGTATAGGATTATTATTTCCCATATGATCTTCAACATCATCAAATAAAAATGATGAAACATCAGGAGCAAATGCATCAGCGTTTGTGGGAAATAACGGATCTGATAATAGATATTCATTATAAGATAATGAAGTTGATGAGGTTGACGAGTTTGACTCAGGAGATGAAGTGGATGAATTATTGTTAAGATTATTTACATTAGAATCAAAATTAGCATTAGTATTAGTAGTAGAATGA